GAGAGAGAGAGAGAGAGAGAGAGAGAGAGAGAGAGAGAGCACTGCCATTTGAGCTTAACAAGAGAACAGCTGTGTGCTTATTCAATTTGTGTATCTTACTGTGTGTGTCTCTTGGTTTGTTGTGTGTGGAGGGGAGGGGTGTGTTCGCATGAAAGATATTTTCATTCTTTCTTCTTGAAAAGGAAGATTTGTAGTTGAAGTGTATTTGTATTGTGCCCATCTCCTTTCCACAACTGCGCCTCCTAATTGGCCATGGTTGCTTTGGTCAATCAATCAATGTCAATCAGGTTGGTCTTCATTCAGTGGAGGTTTTCCGTTCGGCTCCTTCTTTGAAACTGGCAGGGAAAAGACTAGCGAGGGAGGGGGTGGCTCAAGTTTCTTTGGCAAGTATGTGTGAAAGCAGTTGCCTTTTGGTGCTTTTGGCTACCTCAGTCATTCATGTTTTCTGGTTTTGGACAGCTTTCGTTTTTTCGACCGTCTTCCATTTTTTTGCTTCCCAGTTCAGGGCACCATGTCTTTCTTTCTGTGGTAATCTTCTACAAGCATTTGGGAACCCGTTACTTTGTGGTAATCTTCTTCTGTGTTCCGTCTTTGCTAAACTTTCTCCCACTATTGCACTTCTTCTTCTTCTTCTTCTTCTTCTTCTTCTTTTTCTTTTTCTTTTTCTTCTTCTTCTTCTTCTTCTTCTTCTTCTTCTTCTTCTTCTTCTTCTTCTTCTTCTTCTTCTTCTTCTTCTGCTGCTGCTGCTGCTGCTGCTGCTGCTGCACTTCTTCTTCTTCTTCGTCACTTCTTCTTCTTCTTCTTCTTCTTCTTCTTCTTCTTCTTCTTCTTCTTCTTCTTCTTCTTCTTCTTCTTCTCTGCTTTTGATGTTTTCAGCAGTCCCATGTATGTACCACTTAGCCAACATATGGGTTCAACAATGTTCCTCTTCTATGATGTATAGCTCAAAACCTGCCCGCTGTTCATTATCGATGGTCTGCTTTTCAATGTTGCACAAGTTCTTGTCTATTCGATGTGTCAGGTAAATTCTAGCGAAGGAGTTAGCCATAGCTAACTTTTTTGCCGCATGCTTTCACTGATGTTATGTGTAGAGTCGAATTGATGTGCTTCGCACATGTTTGTGAAGTGCACATGTGCGGAAGCAGGCATCTGACAAATCAATGCAGTGAGCAGTGGTCCAATTTTTGCCTTTTGTGTTCTGCTTTGCGTTTATTATTTTCTCTCTTTTTCTTTTTGTGTTTTGCAGCTTTTGCTTACTTTTGTTTCGGTTTTGCCATCTCTCTTTCTTTTGCCTTCACTTTTTTCTTCCGTTGTTTCCTGTTTTGGTCTTTGCTGTCATTACACCCAGCCAGTTCTTCAGCTTTGGCAGTCTTGAAGGGAATACAACCTTTTCTGTTTATTAGTATATTTGTTAACTTATTAATGGGTTGACGGGTTCCGGTGCAGAAGGAATTCGTCTTTGACACGTCTACAGGCATGCAATTGTTCTCCTGCTCTAAATGAACGTTAAACCATGTGATTACAAAAGACCTGCTGTTGCTGGAATATGTTAGGCACCTCTCCCTGGCTTGTTTGGCCTTGGGAAAACAGGCTTGACCCACATTTGGATGCATGGACTGTTCTGTATGCCGTGCAGCCTCTTTGGGGGTGGAGGAGCTGGCAAAACGGAGAAGGACAAAAGTCAGGATTGTCCAGGAGGTATGTTTCAACCCTGCTTCTTGCCTATATCTCAACATCTTTTTTTCGGTGTGAGCACAGCCTGATATTTTCAGAGTGCCCGATGAAATGCACATGTATAGAACAGAGCGGAAACTTCTTGGCACAAGTGGTGTAGAGGTGGGCTTCTCGACCCTTCTCTGGAAGGCGCATACTGTGTGTTAGTTTCAGCGGTTTCAAATGCAGTCATGGTCTAATATGCCCAAGTTTTTCACGTTTAATGGGAGAAGCACTATGTTCACGCCTGCATCCAAAGCAACTTAGCAGGTACTCTGCTAGACTGATGCCCGACAAGGGGTTTGGTAATTACCGAATGCCAAAAATTGGAAAAGAAAAGAATTATTCAGTAACCAAGGATTACAGCATCAGGCTTTTGCCTAGGTAACTGGGTCTAGTCCCTTAGGGCCGCTATGATTATATCTTATGGAATGGACACTGGTAAATGGCATCTTGGCGAGGTTGTGCCTGCTTGTGGAAATGTGTGCCGTTTGTGATTTGAGACCCTGGCTGGCATTCACAGTTTTTTGGGGGGAATCCCTGGGATGAGTTGAAGTTTGTTCAACTGCGCAATGTGCTCTCAGAGTGTGCGCATCACTGGTTGAATCAGGGTTGAGGCGTGCCACCGAGATCGCCCAGTGTAGGGGTCATTTGGGGTAATACATATACTAATACCGTAATATTAACTTCTTCACATCATCACACAATTCCTGATGCCATCAATATACAATGGGTGTTGTTCAAATTGACATCCGAATGGCAACAACGCGTTGGCTGTCAAAAAGCGATTCAATGATGCAACAGTCCTTTGCAGCGAAGTTGTCCCATTCGCAGTCTGCAGGGCAGGGGAATCAGCGTGGAAGTCACAGACGTGCTACTTCTACGCTTTGGATTTGGTTGTCTGATGCCATTCTGATTGTTGCTTCTTTTTTTTCCTGTCTTGCAGCCATGAGATCGCTTTGGATTTGGTCATGTTGATGCTATTCTTGTTACTCTTCTGGTTGTTTTGTACTCAGGTGATTGTTTCCGGTTGAGAGGAATTAAAAACTTGGAGATTCTGAAGGAAGACACTTTTGGAGATGTAGTGTTACAGCAGGAAAGGGTAGTCTGGTTGGTCTTCTTTTACTTCCCAAAAGGTGAGAGATTAGGAGGTTTGTATCCGTCTTGTAGCTGGACGGTACTACTCGTTGCTACATTGTTGGTAAATAAGTTGAGGAGTTCAAAGTTCAAACCTTGTTGAATGCAATGATGGCAGGCCATATTGGAGAGGAAACTTCTGTGGCATACATGTTGTGATAGGAGTGCCTGCATGGACACACGAATGAGGAATGGGCAGGTGATTGGCGTCAGTTAGCTAGGCACAAATTTTAGATGCAATTAGCTAGTCAATTCCTCTTGCCATTAGGAAGGCAAGTCACAGCCCGCTGCAGCCCTGGGCATGGCCAAGAGAAAGGTGCAATGCAAGGACTGTGTTTTTCCCTCCCTGTCTCTCCTCTCTCTCTCTCCCTCCCCCCCCCTCTCTCTCTTATACGACTTTCTTTCTCTCCTCCTTTATCTTGCTCACTCGCTTGATATAGCTCTGTCTCTCTCTCTCTCTCTCTCTCTCTCTCTCTCTCTCTCTCTCTCTCTCTCTCTCTCTCTCTCTCTCTCTCTCTCTCTCTCTCTCTCTGTGGATATGAATCTCTCGTGATGTATTGATCTCTCCCTCTCCCTCTGTCTGTGTCACTCGGGTGGATTGGACAGTGCTTTGGGAAGCGTCACACACAAAAGGGTTATGCGGCGTTTTCTCTCTCTGTCTTTAACTCTGTCTCTTGATTCTCTCTCTCCCTCTCAGGCCGTGATGGTCTCTCTCTCTGTGTCACTCGCTCTATCTTTCTCTCTCTCATTCTGTCACTCATTCCTTCTCTGTCTGTCGGTCGATCGGTCTGTCCATCCGTCCGTCCATCTGTCTCTCTCTCTTGCATTCATGGGCATGGTACTTGGGAAAGTGCCTGTGCGTGGTTTGCGCCGCTCGGTGCAAAGAAATTCATGCCAGACGACTCAAAATAGTTTGTGCTCGAGTCAGTTAGTTTTACACTGTGCTGCATGGAAGTAATTCACACTGCAGCGGCGTGATGTGTTGCATCTGTTTTGCTGACAGATGTGATTTGTTGTGGGTGTGTGGCAGCTTCTACCTTGTTACGGCGATCGGCAATGGAAGAGCTTGTGAATGATCTGCAAGGGTAAGTTACTAAGTCCCATTGCCGCGAAACCCTGCTATTGTACCTTGATGTTAGCTGACCCAGGTCATGAGTTGCTCATGTTTGAACACTTCAGAATACTTGGATGCACTTATGCAATTACAACTGTTGATAAACAGATCATGAGTTCAAAGCCTGCTGGGTAAATGAAATATGTTAAGGGATAATTGGGCAGCCCCTTTGTTTTCTTGAACATGAAAGGATGTGACTGGACATCAGGGTTGCCTTGTATAGCTTTCCACATCCCTCTTGTGTTCCTTCTCTCGTCGCCTCCTCGGCCCCACCTGGAAATGAAATGATAACCCATGGTTTGAACTCCAGTTTTGTTGGTTTTGGTGTTGTGCATGAGAAGGGGTGCTGGTAGGGAGCAATAGATGAGGCCCCAATGGTGCTGGGAACATCAATATGCGTGCCAATGGATGGGTCAACCTTCCTCCTCTTGGTTGGTTAGAGCCAAACCTTGGTAATGGATGGGTCAACCCTCTGGAGTAAGTTAATACGCCGGCCAACGAATGGGTCAACCCTCCTTTTGGTTGGTTAACGGATGGGTCAACCCTCCTTTTGGTTGGTTAACGGATGGGTCAACCCTCCTTTTGGTTGGTTAACGGATGGGTCAACCCTCTTGTGGTTGGTTAACGGATGGGTCAACCCTCCTTTCGGTTGGTTAGGGCCAACACGAAATGGCTGCTAGGGTATGGAGAGTGGTTCTAATGAACAGAGTGATCAGTTGCCTCCCATTTTTTTCAGAGTGGCTCTCAAATTCTCCATATAAAAGTTATTGGCCACCAACCAACTTTTCCAAGGGCCGCAATGGTGATTCTATAAGGGTGCAGAATGGGAACACCCCACATTATGCAGAGCACTGCAAGTCCCCTCCGCCTCCCTCCTCTTACAAACATATGGAAATAGGAACAGAATGCCTTCCACTTATAAGGGTCCATGTGAGTGTGTTTGATCTGTCAAGAACGAAGTTGTAGAATCCGTTGTACATAATGACTGGCGTAACATTGCTTCAGATTTTGCTCAATGTGTGGGTTTGTGTGTGGGTTTGATGCGTGGATCTTGTGAAGCGTGCTGTCCTCCTAACGTCAGGATTACCTGTCGTTTCATGGGATGTGCATGATCTTGGTTTGCAGAATGGTGAGAGTGGGAGTTCTAAGTTGCAATTCTTCACCAAAACTGTGTGATAAGGTGAGGATTCCTGGCATTATATCCGCTTTTCCAACGTGTCCTTTTGTGGTTTGTAGCCGGGAACAATCCAAGAGATTAAAGTTGCTAGAAGTTAGTAAAATACTAACATAGTGATTGGCATAGTCGCCATGCAAGGATGGCACACATGAATCAATCAAGATTGTTGCTAGAACCGCACAGTTTCAGACTGAGAAATTGGCATTATCTAACAAAAGTTCTTCTTTTGAGCGAGATTCATAACACCTCAATGCAAGAATATTATCCTGGAGTGGACTTCAGCAAAACTTGTGTTGCACTCTGTGTTCGCTGACCCTCCTCCCCAAGTTTATAATGCAAGCGCTACCCCTGAATTCATCCACATGGAAGTTTGGTTGTCTAGGAGATCAGAAATTCAAAAGAGAAGTTTGGCGCCGAAGTGTCTGAAGGCAATCCCATGAACACACCAAGTACTGGTGATTTACAAAAAAAGGGCATTGTCACCACATTGATGAAAAAGAGAGGTCATTGGCCTGTCGTCCTTTCGGACATCGGTTAAAAGTGCAACGATAAGAGAAGATTAGCATGCCCTCTGCGCTAGGATGACATGCACAAATCAAGAGCTGACCGAAAAACGAAAAGAAAAGCTCAGCGGCCTGAAAGTATCTGTCTGGTGAGTGTTTAGTTGGGAGTCTAGACTTGTCAAGATGGTTGTAATCCAGCGTACAGTCTCTAATCTATTGGGCCTTTGGCACTGGTGTCCATTCCTGTGACTTTACTGAGCGTTCTTTTCAACCTTCCCATCTCTTCCTTTGGCTACCTATAAATGCATCTCACTCCTTTCCACGCTCTTGCGCAGCAATGCTGTGTCCCACTCGATACATACTGGGAGCCCTTGTCAATGAACCTCTGCTTTCCAGGATTTCATAGCCCCTGTAAAATTTTGACCCTTTTTCTCCAAAAAAGGGGTGACAGCTTTGAAATATTGTCGTTGAACTGACCATCCCCAGACAATTCGGAAATATTCATGGTTGCATCCCAGCGGACCGCCTGACCGCCTGCCCCGACAGCCGATGGTTTTGCAGCCTACCAGTAGTGCAAACCGGTCGGCGGTACGCTGACCAGTCAACCTTTTTTTTTTTAAATACGAGTTCGGGGGGGTATAGGGGGGTTATCCGCTGGGAAATTTCTTGGGAGTCGGGGGGGTATAGGTTGAGGGGGTGTATGTGAGTGTTAGGGGGGTTATGTGGTTGTCACGGAGGGGTTATGGGGGGGATATGAGGGGAATGGGAGGAAAAAAATGGGGGTTATGCTGAGTGGGGATCCGGGCCGCCCGGGTGACCGGCAGGGGCCCGGGGGAGGTCCCGGGCGGCCTGGCCGGGCAGGCACCCGGTTGGGGGCCGGGCCCCCC